CAGCATATGAAACTATATTAACCAATTTATGTATTGATTGCACGTGATTACTGTTTACTCAATATTTTTCCGTTATTTTGAATCATATCCTTCCGGTTCCCCGGGATATTTTCTACTATTTACTATTTAGAAACCAGATGGTCATATTCGCGGTTTGGATTAGGCATTGCACTAGACACTAGACACTAGATGCTAGACAATATACACTGAGATACTTCTCTGAATCTAGATGGCCTAAAATTAGATTAGATACTTGACACTAGACACCAGACACTTGACATTACATGCAAGACTGTAGAAACTAGATAAAGACACTAAAAACTAGACCTAGAAACTAGACTCTAGAAACTGTAAACTGTAAACTAGACTTTGGAAACTATTCACTAGAAAATAGACTTTAGAAACTAGACTCCAAAACTAAACATTGGAAACTAGACTCTAGAAACTAGACTCTAAAAACTAAATTCTAGAAACTAGACTCTAAAAACTAAACTCTAGAAACTAGACTCATGAAACTAGGCTCCAGAAACTAGACTCTAAAAACTAGACTCTAAAAACTATACTCTAAAAACTATACTCTAGAAACTAGACTCTAGAAACTAGACTCTAGAAACTAGACTCTAGAAACTAGACTCTAGACACTAGACTCTAAAAACTATACTCTAATAACTAGACTCTATAAACTAGACTCTAGAAACTAGACTCTAAACACTAGACTCTAAAACTAGACTCTAGAAACTAGACTCTAAAAACTATACTCTAAAAACTAGACTCTAGAAACTAGACTCTAGAAACTAGACTCTAAAAAACTAGACTCTAGAAACTAGACTCTAGACACTAGACTCTAAAAACTAGACTCTAAAAACTAGACTCTAAAAACTAGACTCTAAAAACTATACTCTAAAAACTATACTCTAGAAACTAGACTCTATAAACTAGACTCTAGACACTAGACTCTAAAAACTAGACTCTAGAAACTAGACTCTAAACACTAGACTCTAGAAACTAGATTTTAGAAACTAGACTCTTAAAAAAAGACTCTAGAAGCTAGACTTTAAACACTAAACTCTAGAAACTAGACATAAGAAACTAGACATAAGAAACTAGACATAAGAAACTAGACACTAGAAACTAGACTCTAGAAATTAGACTATAGACACTAGACTCCAGAAAGTAGACATTAGAAACTGCACAAAAGATAGACACTAGAGATTACATACAAGACACTATGCGCTGGACACTAGACAACAGAACATAGACATGTAACTAGACACTAGACACCAGAACATAGACATGTAACTAGACACTAGCCACCAGAACATAGACATGTAACTAGACACTAGACATGTAACTAGACACTAAACACCAGAACATAGACATGTAACTAGACACTAGACAACAGAACATTGACATGTAACTAGACACTAGACAACAAAACATAGGCATGTAACTAGACACTAGACAACAGAACATAGTCATGTAACTAGACACTAGACACCAGAACATAGACATGTAACTAGACACTAAACACCAGAACATAGACATGTAACTGGACACTAAACACCAGAACATAGACATGTAACTAGACACTAGACACCAGAACATAGACAGAACATACACGTGTATAATTTACAAATATGCTAATGATGGAAAATAAAAAAAAAATATAATGATATGGCTACAAATTAATCCAAACTAATCTCCGTATTCATAATTTCTATAGATTATTCATAAAATGTAATAGTGTGTAAAAACCAGGGGGGATGATAGTTTTGTACCTGTGCACTTACAATTGCTTACTAATAATGATATATACTATAGGTTAGGCCAGAATCAACTTATAATAAACAAATATGCAGTACGCTCTCTGTATAGTTTATGGCCTGTAAAATTAGTAAAGGATTCGCGTAAATCATCACTCTACACACTATAACCTCGTTGGTAAAAACTGCTAAATTTCCCCTTTCGGACAATCTTTACTGGCAAAACTGTTTAGACAAATAAGGTCGTCTTCAGCTGAAATATTAGACTTTTCTCAGGCAGTTTTTCTCAAATATACAAACATATTTGCTTAAATGTTTAAAATATCTGTTTAAATACTAAAAATGTTTGTTTTATATTAAAAATATTTGTTTAATATTTAGAATATTTGTTTAAATATTAAAAAATATTTGTTAAACTATTCAAAATATCAGAGATGTTCAGAGATACAAAATATCTATGTAAACAATAAAAGTGTCTGTTCAAATATTTAAAATATTAGTTTAGTTGTTAAAAATATCTGTTCAGAGGTACAAAATATCTATGAAAACAATTAAAATGTCTGTTCAAATTTCTAAAATATTAGTTTAGTTGTTAAAAATATCTGTTCAGAGGTACAATATATCTATGTAAACAATATGACGGCCATACGTAAAAATGATTTAAAAGTAAAAACTGGAAATGATTGTGGGTGCTGACAGCCACCATCTTTAATCCTGATATTGTTAAAAGCGCCAGGTGCTAGTCTAATGCAGATATTGCCTGCATGAATTTGAATATATGAGTCGTAGAAGTAAGAAGAGTATTTTCCCACAACCCCCCCCCCCTCCCCCTCTGGAAAAATCCTCCCTCTACATGGCTGCAGGAAAAATCTAAATCCAAAGAGAATAGAATATATATTAGAGTGGAATTTACTAGAAAAAAGTGTAAAACGGCCATTTTGTTGTACTGTTTCCATACTGCAGGTGTACTTCACGTATTTGTGCTACATAACCTTTTGGGCCCTGGAACATCATTTTATAGAAAATCTAAAGTTAATATTAAAAGAAAACCAAATTATGAAATAGGCTGGTTTCATAATTGACCAATGATCATTTCACATAGACTCCATGCCTTTCACTTTACGATAATTTTCCGTTATAACTATAAATCAAATGATGTTTTTTATTCACCTAATTAATTTTATAAAGTTTATTTAACAGCTATAAAAAATTCGAAATTGAAATGGATAGTCTAGGGAATATACTGTATTAATGTACTCTACTGCATATAAGTTGTGAACATTTACATGATTTGTACACTTTGAACTCCCTTTCAGGCTGAAAAGGACTGAAAAAATTCATACCGAGGGATTGTCTAAATTCCACTCTAACATATATTCTATTCTCTTTGTCTAAATCATGAATGTTTAAAAGCTCCCGAATCTTAACATGAAGCACTGGTTCGAACTGAGTAAGTTCTGTTCGATCACATGCGTTCGATACTGATTCGAGATGAAAAAAACATTATCCTGAACATTTGAAAGCGTTCCCTTGATCTCGATATCCAGTGTGGGCACTTTTTAATGTGAAGATCAATGCTCGGTCCCTTCATTTTAGTTATCCCTGCAGGGTATGACCAACACAGGATAAGATAAGATAAAGTTTATTGCTAAAATAAATGTATCTGTATACAGATAGAGTTTACAATCACAAAATTGATGATTATATTAACAGTACAAGTATAAAGCAAATAGGTAGAAAATAGCTCTTTGCTGTTTTGATTATTTTTTCCACCTAATTTTAATAATAATAACAAAACATTTCAATTAAAAAGATTTAAGGAGAACGATTAGAGATCAGGGTGCGATTTTATCTTATGCAAAATAGTTAATACATTAATTCGAATAACTAGAGTTTAAAGTAATTTTTTGTAATGTACACAACGAATATCAAAGCATATTAAAATATATCGAGGAGGAATTAAATTAATCCGAGGATCTGCATCAGATGAGTTGTATCAATCCTTGATCCGAGATTCACAAAACAAAAGTTCTAACTTTCTAGAGGAGAAAACAAGAAAAATATGAGATCTTCAGATTCTGGACTTGGGATAATTTTTCTATGAGAAGTAATTAAAGAAAGGCATCGTAGTTCATAATTGTCGGTTCAATAAAAAAATTCTTTTAATAGATCACAAAACCGTAAAAGCAGAAAGTTGCTTTCCGAAAACCTCCAAAAGAACTCTTATTTCATAATCGATGAATTTTTGCAATTTAATGCCGTAGACATTTGAATAATATTCAAAACTTTAAATTCTGCTAGATCAAATAGTCAGTATGTGTGTTTTTCTTTGAAACATCAAAATTTATACTATCACGTTGCAAAGATATAAGGATAGAGAATTGAAGTTTGAGGCAGGTGTTCAGTTCTTTTCCTTGTTAGTTTGAAATACATTAATTAAACCCCCCCCCCCCCCCCTGTGGAATGTTAATTGTCCACCCTCCTTTATCTTCATGGTGGCATAATAGAGAGCAGAGCAAGATCAAGGAATATTTACTTGATGTTACAAGATTAATAATCCCGGAACAATAATCCGGAACTCCTCATCATGCCTCTTCCCAGGAAACACGCGCTTCCGGTCCCCATCCTCTTCATCAGGAAGAAACTTGTGCGGCATTACTGGTATGACTTTGCGAGTTTTCATTTCACCCTCAAAATAGAAAAAGCAAATGTTTTAGTTTCATAAAAGATTTCAAAGCTTTTTATCTGAAAAATTAAGAAAAATGAGTTTTTAAGATCACATCAATGTAGAATATAACAAAAAATTTATCATTTTTTTTAAAAAGTGTGTATTACACATTTTTATGTTTAATTATGATATTTTGATGAAAATCTGTTTTATGTAAAATAATGAATAATTAAGTAGGACCCCCCCCCCCGTCATCTTTTTCCGTAAAATTCGTCTTTGCAATTTCGGTACTTTCCTACCATTGTAACTAATAACTTCCTGCAACTTCTCTTGAAAGAGATTACAAGATCCAACCCGGGGAACTAGAAACATATTTCACGGTTATAATCTCTTGTTAGATTTCTCTCACGAGATTATTTATCATTATTTGATCTGTTTAACCACGATGATACAAATACTTGGATTCAGGATCATTCCTTCCGATTTTACACCTGGATAAACAATATCCAGGGTTTAACTGAAACTGAAACCCTGGATCAGGATAGAAAGGAAACCCTGTGAACAGGTGAAACTAAGCCAGTCTCAGGCCGGTATCCAGTGCATACGTTACTAGAGATCTCTACGCCCAGGCAGTGAAACCCCTGCGTCAATCAGGCCGCAACTCAACGCATGAATTGTATTGAAATAGTGCAGAGACAGTTTCTCCTTTGTCCAGCTCATTCGTCCAGAACTAAACCCGTCCCGGAGAAGGAGAGAGAACACTCTAGGTAGATATAGATATATATATAAGCTCTAAAATCGTGCCAGGATTCGTATCCTTAAACTCAAACTATACGAATACGATCTCAGTTTGAACTCTGATGCATATTTACCCATTTTAGAGACAGTTTAGATTGGATTGTTTATCATACCAAGGCACGCTTGCCTATCTAGTTATATCTCTGTAAGATTATTCAGCTTTGTTTAAAGAAACTTACTTTGCCACAGTTCCTATTTAAAATATTGGAATATATTGATATTTGAACCCTCTTCCTCATTTTTTTTAATTTACATGAATCAAAATTTAGTTTTCTTCCCCCAAAAAAAGTTAAAAAGTTTAACTAAATATTAAAATTGTTCTATAAAAATAAAGATTGTTGTTGATAAACAGTTGTATCAGTCAGTCAGTTGTTTAGATCAGATTTGTTTACGTTTAGAAACAAACCAGAAAAATAACAAAAACAATAACAATATAGAATCAAGGTATCCTTACTTTACGCTGAAAAGGAATTCAGTCTTTGCCACAAACTCAAATATTCTAATCACTTTTTCGTTGCAACCTAATGGTGTGAGCCTTTAATATTTTTAAATTATATTTCTTGATCTACTCGAAAATCGAATTCATAGTTTAAAATATCTAAAGCCTGCGATATTGGGTTACAAAGAAACAGTATTAAAAATCAGAGCTGTGGCTCAATTCCTTCTTCTATCTATATACTTTGCTTGTCTGTCTGTCTGTTTGTCAGTTTGTACCCCATAAACGTCAAAACGGTTGAACCGATTAGGCCCAAAGGAACTGAGTCTTCGCCACACAATCGAATATTCCAATACTTATATTTTTGCAACCTGATGATGTAATCCTTTGAAATTTCAAACTTAGATTATTTGATATAAAAGAATTCATAATTTAAAATATCTAAGGTCTATAACATTTGGTTGCTAAGATATAGGGATTAGAAAATCAGAGTTTGTTGCAAAGACTCAATTCCTTTTGTATGGGACCTCACATGACCCCAGGGAAGATTTATGAATGCTCAGAATTTCAAAAAGTTGTCTCCAAAAATTTTTGATTTTAGTAAAATTTTGAAAATCCACGAAAAAATATCATTAAATATGCTAACTTTTTGTTTTTGTTTTATACTGTACAAAGAGAAGAGGTCCATAAAAGCAATTGGACTGTTTAATTCACTCCTACAGGATACTGCGTAAAGTTTATACACTAAACACATAGAAATCCATTTGGAAGCCTGCACATTCAATTAATCAGAGCTTAACATTTTAATATTCAAGATTTCCTGGATTAAAAAAATGGTTTCTTGGACTTTTAAATATGGTTCATTTTTTGATTCGATGATATAAAATGTGATCTCAAATATTTTATTTTAAAACTGAATTTTTTCAGCATCATCTTTTTTTAATTATTCTTACGTAAATCTAGACATACGAAAATTTTCAATATCTATGAAACAATTTTGAGGTAAACCACATAGAAAGCACAATTAATTAAGTTGAGTCGGTAGTATGTAAACTTGTGTCTCATGTGCATTGAAACTCCTTTCATTCACTATAGGAGGATTAATTATAAATCAAGGAAATTCAGTATTAGCATTGCAATATACATACATATCTAGTTTATAATTATAGGCGCAATTAGTTATCTTATTAAAGGGGGGGAGGAGGATCTTTCCATGTCTTCATAATGGTCATTTTGTTTGGGATAACGCTGGATCTCATCGCTGTCAAGCAAAAATTGATAAGAGTTTTGCGAACAAAGCTAACATAAAGTGCTTTATTGTGCTAAAATGTACATGTGAAGCGATAAAATCTAAGCCCAAGGCGTTGTTTATAAGCAGGCTGAATCGATGTGTTAGCATTAGCGACTCAACTTGATCTCCAAAATGTAAATTTTTAAATGAAAGATTCAAATTTTCTTTCGAGGACTAACTACAAATTCTTCAAAGATTTAAGAAACGGTTAAAGAGGATATTCACGATATTCTTGAACCGTATTCATGGTATTCTTGAACAGTATTCACGATAATCTTGAACCGTCGAGAGAAAAAACTGTAAATTATAAAAAAAATGTCTTCCTCTTATAAATTGTATAACAACATATCATAGCATCATATAAGGCTTTTGTTTTTCTGTTCAGCACAATAATTTATACCTGTTTTAACTGTGGGAACTCAATTTTTCTCTTTGGGATAAATCTTCAATGCTAATCTTTTGTATAGAAGTTGTACAGTATTCCATTTGTATGCAATAAAAGTCGGTGTAAAAAATAAGAATTGGGAAATATTTTTCTTATGGAGTAAATCTAACTCTAACATCTTTTTTTTAGAGGTTTTAAACTTGTTCTCACAAATGTAAAAGAAGTATTATTTCGGTTTAAAAACAAAAGACATGAAGTAACATTTATTCTTATTCAATATTTCCCACAGATGTAGTGCAGTCGTGTTCAGTTCCTAATTTGATGGTCAATAACAAGGAACTATATATAGGAACGCCCAACTTAGATATACGCTTATTATGTACTGTACTCTGTGGGAGGAATGTAAACAAACCCAGTGTCCCCACAGAAGTTGAAGGGAAAGGACCTAGGGCTCTGATGATATATTACAGTCCAACAAAAAACAAGTTAATATATCAAGTTAATATGATTTTTGGCTTTCTAGTCAATATGGAAAATACAATAGCAATAAATTTCTTATTCCCCTCCGTGGGCCCTTTTTCCTCAAAAATGATGGGCTCTGAGTTCTTTGTTTTGATCTCCTCCCACTGCAGTACACGGATTTGACGCATAAGATATGGCGGTTCCTGGTAAATATATAACTTGGTCAATAATAAGTTTTATTTTGAATACAAAGAATGATGATTCATATACTGAGGTTAGATTTCAATTCAAGGAAAAGATAAAGATGTGAGTTCCTGGAAAGGAAAAGATAAAGATGTGTGTCCCTGGAAAGGAAAAGATAAAGATGTGTGACCCTAGAAAGGAAATGAAAAAATCATAAAAATAAAACAAATCACTAGTAACGGAAAAAGATTGCATTTATTCCTTTCCTTCCTTTTATTGTAAAGGGACAGTATACGTAATTTCAATTGACCCTTTGCTTATAAAGTGGAATGTCTCATTCACAACAGTACCCTTTTTCTGAAGGATGAATAGTTGTTTCTCTGGAATAGCGAAAAATAAAGACAATGAAGGACATGGTCAGAATTTAACATTTTTACATTCACGATAGAAAAACGACAATATTTTTCTCATTTATACTCAGAGAGAGGTTGAAAGGGTAGCGATATGTATTTCTTTTTATAAATTACGTTTACAGTCCCTTTAATAAATAGCTATTGATTTGTTTTGTGTTTATTACTGTTAGATCTGGTAAAGGTTCCCCTGGAGAAATATCCAGGTTGGTTTACGGTTCACTTTCCACGCTAGAATTACTCCGACATTGGTTAACATAAGAGAAATTCAATGTCCCCCCGTCCCAGCGATCTTTTGGTTTTTATATTGTCAAACCTCAGACATTTTAGTTGAAATAACTTTTGCTAAAAGCTTTGAATTGCATTTTAGTGAATTATTGCACACCAGGACTGCACGATCTTGCAATGGTTTCAGCAAAACTTTAGTTCTATGGGTTTCAATTGCTTTAAAAGCTATCCAGCTATATTAAGTAATTTCCTAGAGAACGATTTTTGGATCCCCCCCCCCCCTTAATTTTGCACATGGTTCTCATATGTATCACATGGATATCATTGGCCATGTGGCCGCAGCGCCCGGCCCACTTGCCCGACCTAGCTGCGGCGCTCGGCCCCCTAGCCTATCTTAGCCGCAGCGCTCGGCCCCCTAGCCTGTCCTATAGCCGCATTGTCTTAACCTAACCTAACCCTAAAATACATAAAAATAAATAATAATCAATTTATTATTCAAGCTCTACTTATCCAATCATAAAGCACTCTGGAACACTTGGAATACCTGGAAAAATAAAGAATACAAATTTTACTGAAACACTGAAAAATAAGTGGTCAGACACAAAATTGGGGAGGGCCGGGGGGGGGGGGCAAAAATCGTTCTCTAGGACAGACGCCTACTGTATATTTTTCACTTCTACAACTGGAAATTTGATCCTAAATCCTTTAATCCTTTAATCTGATTGGATCCTTTAATCCGATATGGATTTTAATCTTATTTAATTATCTAACCATGAAAATCCCACCACCAAATTATCCTCCTACGTACGTCTACCTACATTGTACGTATTTTAAAACAATCAACTTTCATTATTCCTTGAGACAAACTCCTTTCAATTTCATGTTTGATCTTCTTTCTTTATTCGGTTAATCTCCTGAACACCAGAACAATTCTTTTTCTTTCTTTTGCCTTATTTCCTAAAAATCTCTCTCTCCTTTTCTCAACCAAACCCCTCTCCTTTCTTCAATCTAAACCCTCTACTTTCTTTAACCTAAACCCTTTTTTTTTCTTCAACGTAAACCATTTTCTTTCTTCAATCTAAATCCTCTTCTTTCTTCAACCTAACCCCTCTCGTTTCTTTAACTTAATGCCTCTCCTTTCTTCAACCTAACCCCTCTCATTTCTTTAACCTAAACCCTTTCCTTTCTTCAACCTAATCCCTCTCCTTTCTTGACAAAAGCCACTTTCCTTTCTTAACCAAAACCTCTCCTTTCTTCAACCTAGACCTTATCCTAACTTTAACCCAAACCCTTTCCTTTCTTCAACCTAAACCATCTCCTTTCTTCAAATTATAACTTCTCCTTTCTTCAAATTATAACTTCTCCTTTCTTCAACCTAAACCCTCTCCTTTCTTCAACCTAAACCCTTTCCTTTCTTCGACCTAAACCCTCTCCTTTCTTCAACCTAATCCCTCTGTTTTCTTCAACCTAAATTCCTTCCTTTTCTCAACCTAGACCCTCTCTTTTCCTCAAACTCTTCACTTTTCCTCAACCTAAACCCTCTCTTTTCCTCAAACTAAACCCTCTCTTTAGAGAAGAAATGGTAGGTGGGAACCTTTTTTAAAGTACACCCTTGACATGTTTAAAAACAAACATTTAAACCCCAACACGCGCCTCCATTTTTCATGGTTTTCACTTTTCTTTACAATATTTATTATTCATTTCAAACTAGTTCTCTGGGTATATTTGAGAACCATTTTATGATTTGGTTTATTTCTAATTCATTTTCATTCTAGGATGTGAAACCCTGGGAGTTGATTCAAGGATTTGAATATATTCAAGAATGAGCTTCTTAATATCCCGAGCCAGAGGTTTATTTCAGTACGGAGATCTAGAGGGAGACTCCAGGGTTTCATCAAATGGAAACTCTGTTGATATTGAAGGCACAGGAATACTCTCAGCTAATGCCAGGGTTCGGAGATCAAGACGATGTTTGTGGACCGGAATAGCAATCTGCAGTCTCTTAGCGATAATAATAATTTCGGCGGCCGTCAAAAATCGTCATCATATCAAAGCTGCTGCCGAAGCTTTGATGCAAAGTGTTGAAAATGAGCAGAAACTAGGTGGAGAAGTTGGCGAAGTTGTGCACTACAGTCCGCAGTCGACTGGAAACCAGTTTACATTCAACGATTTCTACACTGTGTCCTTCTATCCAGACTTCTTTAATGGATCCTGGATCTCTGATACTGAAATCCTGTTCCGAGATCAGTACGGAGGATTATCCATCTCTAACGTAGCGACCTCTGAGACCCAGACAGTGGTTAGTCACAATCAGGCCAGAGATCTTCATCCTCTTGACTTCTCCTTCTCCGCAGACCGACAATATCTTCTTGTAAAAACCCGGAGTCAACGGGTTTGGAGAAGATCTAGCTACGGAACCTATGCCTTAGTTCGGATGAACGGAGGAAGACCTGATTCGTCAGCTATTCCTCTTCTTCCACCGCATGCCGAAGTCGGTGACGAAGACATGAACCAGTATCTCCGGTTTGTATCCTGGGCTCCGGAAGGAAACGCTCTGGCCTATGTTGACTATGAGAACAATATTCACTACAGACATTCTGCTGAAGCAGAAGATATCAAGCTCACTAACTCCGGAAACGAAACCGTGATCTTCAACGGTATCCCGGACTGGGTGAACGAGGAGGAAGTGTTTGAGGATAACAAGGCGATGTACTGGTCTCCGGACGGAACTAAACTCGTCTACGGAGTGTTCAATGATACTCTTGTGGATATTGTTAAGCTCCCGAGATACGGGAACTGGAGACAGGATTCCTTGAACAGACAGGGATATCCCTTCCTTCAATACTTTCTGTTTGATGATTTTAGATATCCTAAGGTTGGATCCACTAATCCAATGGTCACACTGTGGGTTGCTGATGTAGGTCCTCCCGGAGTTTCAAATCCTATTAGACAGCAAAACCTTCCTCCTCCCATCAGTCTCATGTCAACTGAACATCATTTTACCTTTGTAGAATGGGCGAGTAACACGACAGTTGCCGTGAACTGGATGAATAGGATACAGAACACTACAGCCATCAATCTGTGTGAGGTAAAGAGAGATCTGCAGTGTGACGAAATGTTCGTGATGCCACAGCGTGAAGGTTGGGTTGATTACAAGTTCAGCGTGAGGTTCAATAAACACAATCCAAGCAGGAAGTTTTTAACCATCATGCCAGCAGCAACCATGAGACATAGGTTCCGACAACTATTTTTAATTGACCTTGAGAACAACAGGAGAACCTTGCTGACAAGGAAAGACTCCGAGGTGACCGAGATACTTGAGTGGACGAAGGAAGATCATGTTTACTATATTGGAACTAAAGAGAATGAACCTGGAACCAGGCATCTCTTCAGACTGGAGCTGGGTCAACCTGAACCTGATTGTTTGACCTGTTTACACAAGGATCATGTTACAGAGTTGAGTCACAGACCTGAGTGCGATTATGTGTCTGCATCTATGAGTAAAGATGGAACCTACTATGTTATGGATTGTAAAGGCCCAGGAATACCCTACTCCTGTCTGCACCACACTGCATCGAATACCCTACTATCAATCTGGACGGATAATAGGATTCTAGAGAACAGGTTCAGTTTATTAGATGTCTCTAGTGTTAAATACATGACTGTACCTGTACCTGGAACAACCCAGGAGGCGAGTGTGATCATCTATATTCCCTCCGCGGTTCAATCTCAGCCTGGGAAGAAGTTTCCCATGTTGGTTGATGTGTATGGTGGACCAGGATTCCAGTATGTGGATAAACAGTGGGGAGGATATGGATATCCGGCGTATATGTCCTCCTCCCAGGGTGTGGTTTATGTAAAGATTGATCCTCGGGGCTCAGGGTTCCAAGGAGATGCGTGGAGACACTCCGTTTACAGGAACTTTGGCTCAATTGAGGTTACGGATACCATTCACGTGACCCAGTGGCTCCAGAACAACCTGGATTATGTTGATGCAGAGAAAACAGCAATCTGGGGTTGGTCATATGGAGGCTTCCTCTCTCTCTCTGCTTTAACTCAGGATCTATCCAATGTATTCTCGTGTGGAGCAAGTGTTGCTCCGGTAGTAAGATGGGAGCTGTATGATACCTACTACACGGAGAGATACATGTCTACACTAGAAGATAACCCTGAAGGGTATAATACCAGTTCTCCTCTCATTGGAATAGAAAATCTACGCAACAAGAAGTATATGATGGTTCACGGAACCCATGATGATAATGTACACTACCAGCAGTCTATGCTGCTCTCTGCTGCACTAGAGGAGAAGGATATATTATTCCGTCAGCAGACCTACCCTGATCAGGATCATGGAATAGGAGATTATAGGAAACATTTATACCATTCTTTAACAAACTTCTTCTTAGAAGAGTGCTTTCATTCAAACCAATAATCTAGTTTTGCATCTTTCGTGATATTAACGGGACTGTCATGCAAATTTAAAGTACCCTCGATTAAAAAAATTAATTTTAATCAATATCTGACAAAAATTTACAAAATTATCGTCGTTTTCTATCTTTCTGTCTTAAATTGATCAAATCCTGAGCTGGGAACTTTAGAATGGGATACCTTTGATCCCGACTTCTTAATCCGAATATCCAATGTGGACTTTAATTTCTAGCTTAATCCACTCTTTTTTGAGTATAGTACAGAAAAATCAAAAAATGGATTTTCAAAATTATAGAGTCCCTCCCGTTTCTGTATATCAATCTTAAATGGCGCGCAAAATTTCAAATTTCCCGGCTTCTGATACGGGACTCTGATTGGTTGAATTTTATGCACTTTTCAGGATACAAGTACAAGATTAGGTTAGTCTCGAGATTCAGAAAAACAGAGGATCAAGCATTTATATCTACCATTCTAAAGTTTTCAGCTCTGGCCATATAGGAAAGTAGTTTAAATGGGTGAATAATTCCGAAGACAGTTCCTGTAATAACGAAAAATGTACTTATAACACATGTTGATATTTGTTAAATACTTTTTGTTAATTTATTTGATGAGCTTTTATCCGATATAATTCGATACATGGAAATAAACTTACCTGTCTCTACTGCAAGGGTAGAGACTGTAATGTATAAAAAGGTTATTTTTTGTTAATAAATCTTTACTTAAACTTTAAAAATTTCATGAACAAAGAGCTAAGATTTGTGGTATCATAAATATTCATATTTTTACTCGAATAAACCACGCTCAAATATCTCCAACATTCCTCCTTATTAACTTTTCAGATTTTATTGATTATTTCTTTTTCCAGCTTTCCTTCTCTTCTAATAATCAAATGCCTTGGTTACATTTTCATTTCAATATTTTATCTTCTCTAATCATTTTCTTTTATCCTCTTACTTTCCTCCATTCTTTTCATTATTTATCCTCCATTCTTCTCCTCTCATCATTTTCTTTTATCCTTTCACTTTCCTCCATTATTTTCATTATTTATCCTCCATTCTTCTCCTCTCATCATTTTCTTTTATCCTCTCACTTTCCTCCATTCTTTTCATTCTTTATCCTCCATCCTTCTCTTTTCATCATTTTCTTTTATCCTCTCACTTTCCTCCATTCTTTTCATTCTTTATCCTCCATTCTTCTCCTCTAATCATTTTCTTTTATTCTCTCACTTTCATCCATTCTTTTCATTCTTTATCCTCCATCCTTCTCTTTTCATCATTTTCTTTTATCCTCTCACTTTCCTGTATTCTTTTCATTCTTTATCCTCCATCCTTCTCCTCTCATCAGTTTCTCTTATCCTTTCGCTTTCCTCCATCTTATTCATATTTTATCCTCCATCCTTCTCTTTTCATCATTTTCTTTTATCTTCTCACTTTCCTCCATTCTTTTCATTATTTATCCTCCATCCTTCTCATCTCATCATTTTCTTTTATCCTCTCACTTTCCTCCATTCTTTTCATTCTTTATCCTCCATTCTTCTCCTCTCATCATTTTCCTTTATCCTCTCACTTTCCTCCGTTCTTTTCATTCTTTATCCTCCATCTTTCTCTTTTCATAATTTTCTTTTTTCCTCTCACTTTCCTCCATCCTTTTCATTCTTTATACTCCATCCTTCACCACTAATCCTTTTCTTTTATCCTCTCACTTTTCTCCATCCTTTTCATTCTTTATCCTCCATCCTTCTCCTCTAATCATTTTCTTTTATCCATTCACTTTCCTCCATTCTTTTCATTATTTATCCTCCATCCTTCTCCTCTCATCATTTTCTCTTATCCTCTCACTTGTACCTCCGTCTTGTTTATCCTTTATCCTCCATCCTTCTCCTCTCGTCATTTTCTTTTATCTCAGTTTTCTTTATCCTTAATCCTCCATTATTTTGCGCTCGTTGTTTTTCCTTTTATTTTTATCATTATTCAGCCTCTATCTTAATTTTTGTTCTTAAAAGTTACAGTTTTCTCTTCATCCTGCCCCCTTCCCGCTCTCTTCTCTCTCTTATTATCCATTCCCTTTTATCTCCTGTTATTCTCTGTTTATGTTTCATGTTTAATCCATACCTTTTCCTTGTATTAATTCTCCCTAAAGTTTTACCACAAAATCTAATCTTTTAATCCATATATTTTTTCAACCTGAACGGTGTAAATCTTTGATCTAACAGAAATTCATAGTTTGAAATATCTAATGTCTAACGATCCATTGGGTTGCAAAGATATAGTTAGAAAATCTGAGTTTGTGACAAAGACTCAATTACTTTCCTTGTTTTCAACAACACACCATCCTCCCTTATTTTACTCTATAATCATATATCCTTTCTTTTAAACTATTTCCATCCTCCATTCCTCTCTCATTCCATCTATCCTCTTATCCTACCATATATTTCCGCTTCTTAACCTTCCTTCTATCCTCTTATCCTACCATATATTTCCAATTATTAACCTTCCTTCTATCCTCTTATCCTACCATATTTCCAATTATTAACCTTCCTTCTATCCTCTTATCCTACCATAATTCCAATTTTTAACCTTCCTTCTATCCTCTTATCCTACCATATTTCCAATTCTTATCCTTCCTTCTATCCTCTTATCCTACCGGACCATATTTCCAATTATTAACCTTCCTTCTATCCTCTTATCCAACCATATTTCCAGTTCCGCTTCTTATCCTTCCTTCTATCTTTATATTTTGACAAATCATTGATGAAAATTGCAATTGTAATTCTACGCTTCGAATGTTACAATTTTATGCATGATTTTCCATATGATCGACATCACATAGATTCCACGTTCTATATATTTTAATGATATTTCAAGAAAAATTATTAAAATTTATCATTTCAATATTTTGATCAAATATTTTAAACTAAATTCGTAACAAGTAAACTATGGTATTTATAATTTATATTTATAATTTATTTATAATGAAGTATTCGATATCAAAATAACATTAGGACCTAATAGGTTTAGCCGCTTTCTGATTTATTGGAAATATACTGACCAAGAGACAAGAGAAAGGAACTGGGTTCTTGCCACAAACTCTGATTTTCGAATCCCTATATCGTTTTATCCTGATGACATCAAAGACTTGTTATATGTCAAATTGTGAATTCTGTTTGATGGAATAGTATAAGCTTGAACTATTAAAGGTTTACACAATCAGGTTGCAAAGATATATGGATTAGAAAATTTGTTGTATATTACAGTGATAACCAGAAAACTGTGAAATAGGAAGACTACTGTTAGACTCAAGGTTTGACTTTAAATAGTTAAATGAGCATTGAGCATGGGACATAGCAATTGTGCAGTGTAAACCGACCCATTTTACTTAATTAGTAATTTGATAAATGTCTAGTAAAACTATTTGCGTTGTAACAACCTCAAATACACTAAGCATTTCTGTAAAGTCGTCTTTCTATTTCAAAGTTTTCTGGTTATCACTGTACGTACAAGAACTCAGACTTTACAGGATACTTTCCGACCTGCTTTAGGGTACTGTATTTCAAGATTTTAGTGGGTTTTTTTTGTTTGTGAACTTTTTAAAATTACTGAATAGCTTAATAAGGAGACATTTTAGAATCCCGACCAATCATAGCCCTTCCCTGGGGCCATAATACCAGTAACCACATATAAATTTGGCCCAATGGGTTCAGCCCTTTTGACTTTAATTAAATACAAACAAAGCAAACACTGAGACAAATAAACCAAATGTAAATTACAAATGAATACACATACTCAAATTTTCTAATCTCATGTCTTTGCAACCTGATACACCATCCTTTTAATATTTAAAAATTAGTTTTTTTGATCGAATAGAATTTATATCTAAGGTCTATGACATTGGGTTGCAAAGATGTAGGGATTAAAAAATCAGAGTTTGTATAGGAAAGACTCAATTCCATTTCCGTGAGAACCTGTCTTATTTAGAGGATATTATTGGAAATCCATGATGCATGATTTCCATGATTAGTCAGTAAATTGTAAACATATAAATTTCATCGCTTTTCTCAACACTGACAATGCAAACTAATCCTTAACCCTGAAAAGACTTAATGCACTGTAAACTATATTTTTTCTCCATATTATTGTAGAGTCGTGTTTTTTACAGGTAAAAGTTACAAAATCATGGATTGATGGTTTTAAAAATAAACCCAAGCTAATTCAACAACGTTATCTTTACAGTAAGTTCGCAGTATAGTTCCATCAACCTACTTTTCCATGATTCTTGAGACAATAGTTGAAACAATAATTGTGATATTCCCCTGTCCTGGGATTTCCAAAATGTGATCTGCTTTTTCGTGATTTTGATATTACCGGAGAAATGAAGAATTTTGTTCAGATTTCAAAATATTTAATAAAATCATAATTGTCGAAATCTGAATAAAAGACAAACTTCACTTTGGAATTCTACTTCTAAAATTGTGTTACAAACAAATGACATAAATCCGACTGAAGCACTTCAATTTTATAGTTAATCGTCTTTAAATTCTTAGGATAAAATAGCCAAGAAAAAGTTATGCTCTCTTCTGCAAAGAAACCACAAATAAAGCTCGGACATCTCTTTTATCCATTATAAGACAAATGTTTTAAGAGTATTTCCGTTGCGAATCGACCATTTTACTCCAGAGAGACGAGTCACTTGAAACTACTTCTTTAGTTCCTTTAAGTAAGGAATACTTAATTTTGTCTAATAGATTATTAACGAAATTTGAAATGACTCTTTAATTAAAAACAGTCACATTAACAGTCATTTGAGTAACAATAATGGAGAAATTATCGTGTTTCCTTTTCTTTGAAATAAATATCTCATGTTGCTGTACAGTTAGGAATGCAACTAAACCAATCTTACTCCGTTTAATCATCGTTATATTTTCGCTTTTTTTGTATTTGTATATATATACAGGGTATTTCTGCTGAAATGGCAATTTCTATTTGTCTATAATATATATAAATAAGATTAAATTCGCAAAAGTAGTTTTGTTAATGTCTTACATATGATCATATCATTTTCTTTTAAAATTCGGTGATGGTGATGGACCAAACCTCTATAGAGTAAAAAAAGTAGATGTTAGTTCCACATTTATTGAAAATA